TCCGCACAGCGATGTAAAATTAAAGAGAGCGGTGATTCGAATCACTTGCGAGTAAAACTTGATCAGCACGGAGTTTGCAGTCGATAGCGGATGTACGTGCTTTAGTTCAGAACACTGTATGTAGATATAGCACACTGTATTTAAATTGGCTCTTTAGCAAACATTACTGGTAAACGTGAAGTAGTTTCGCGAGAATTTTTGTTAAATGTAACGCAAATATAAATAATAATCATAACAGTAACAATAATGATAATGATAATGATAATGATAATGATAATAATAATAAAGGTCTCCCTGATTCATAGTTTGAAACAGATGTTAAAACGTACAAGATAATTATAGAGTTAAAAACTGTGCCAATATTAAAAACTAACGATACAATCTATTTGAAATCAAAGAGACATCTACTTACAAAGCGTTTCTTGAACCTCTCTGTATTAACACATGGGACCTGGTAAGGATGCGACCTATCGCGTGGGGCCCTGTGGTGGGAGAAGATCCTAAAGAGGATGCGAAGGAGTGTCCACAAGACTATTCCACAGCCTCAAATCCCTTTCTTTAACGATCTGTTGGATCGGCGTCACTTGTTGAATGTACCCGAATCTAAATTNAAGACTATTCCACAGCCTCAAATCCCTTTCTTTAACGATCTGTTGGATCGGCGTCACTTGTTGAATGTACACGTATCTAAATTCCCTTTTCTGTAGCCTATCAATTTGACCCAAGTATTTAGTATAAGCAGCCACACGCCACACTCCACACACTGATACAGTCAGTAAAGAGTGACATAATGAAAAAATCACAAAGATAAAATGAAGCTCAGATAAACTATAATCATTGCTTTTACACACTCTAAGTATATACATACCTTTAAGGGTTCTTTCCATCAAATCATCAAAATGCATGTCTCAGTTGGTAGGACTATCCTGAAATGTCACTCCTAGAAGCTTCAGATATGTCACACGTTTGACGTTAACAGTTGGGTCAAGACGGGGCAAGGTTGTTCATCCCTTTAAATTTCGTCAAATAGACTTTAATATTATCTACATACTCAGAGGCATTATCACTGACATTAGGCCCAACGAGTATACTACACGTAATGTCATCCGCATATTTAGTTTTCAAGGCAACCTGGGAGGTGGGACTTAAGAGCAGCTTCGCCTAAATATCAACTAGACTTGGAAATAGCGAAAAAATCGAATTTCTTCAAA